AATCCCTGAATGAGGAAGCTCTCTTCTACCAATGCAGTTGCCACCTTCCCTGCAACTTAAAAAGCTGCCTAGAGCAAAGGTTAAGTTACCTAGCTGGGGCTGCACAGCCAGTAGATGTCACAGTCGGGGCTCAAACTCAGTCTTCCTGGCATCCAGGCTACCTCTCTACCATGCCCTGCTACCGGTCTACTTTTGGATGGCTCCTACTTGTTAGGAAATGTTTCCTGAATTTCAGCCTGAATATGCCCTCCTGCAACTCTACCTATAGTTCCCAGCTCTGCCCTCTGGACACAAGCAGAATAAGTCTAATTTCACATTACTGCCCTTAAAGTACTTGATACTGGCTGCCGTGTTCCTCTCCCTTTTGCCCCCTCCAAGTCTTCCCTAATCTAAGCTAAACATCCTGAGTTCCTTATTAGTTTATACTCCTTCCCCACCTTCCTGGTATCTCTTTTTTTGACTTTCCACAACTTGTCAGTATCCTTTTTCAAATATGGCCACAAGAACTAAAGGCAGTACTGCAGATGTGGTCTGACCAGGAGAGAGTGAAGCAGTACTGTTACTCCCTTCGTTCTGGACACTTGTTCTCTCAGGGTAGCCTAAGATCGAGTTAGTATTTTTGGCTGCTGTGTAACCGCAGCCTGGTGAGTGGCAGCATGGTATACTGGCTAGAGGGTCAGTTTAGTTGGAATGACCTAGCTTCAAGTCCTGCCTCTAATATGTACTGACTGGCTTTGTGACCATTTGCAAGTCATTTAACTTTTTTTTTGGAGGGGAGGCAAGAGGCAGTTGGGGTGAAGTGACTTGCCCAGGGTCACACAGCTAGTAAGTGTCAAGTGTCTAAAGCTGGCTTTGAACTCAGGTCTTCCCGACTCCAGGACTGGTGCTGTGTCCACTGTACCACCTAGCTGCCCCTGTTTAACCTCTTAATGCCCAGGCAACTCTCTTAAGATTTTAAGTTGAGTTCAACTTGCTGATCTTCACTTGTGGAAAGAGTTTCCATGCTGGGAATTTTCTGTGATAATGAAATCATAGGTCCAGAACAAACAAATTAAGTTGCATAGTTATAATATTGAGTTTGCTGTCCACTAAGATCCCAAATCATTTTTATTTGAACTGTTCCTTAGCTACAGTTGTACAATTGAATCTTTAAACTTGTATTGGGCTTTAAATTTATTCCTATTAAATTTCATCTTATTATTATCTTATTATTGGTAAGGTTTAGTCCCTCATCATGGCCTTTTGATATATGTTTGTTGTGAACCAGTGATCTAGCCGACACTATCAGCCCATATCTTCATCTTGTCCACAAGAATTACGTGAGATTTTGTCAAATGCCTTGCTGAAATCCAGGTATGCTACCTCTAGCATTTTCTGACCTGCTAATCTGATAATCTTGGCAAAAAGGAAACAAGTTTAGCCTGGAATGACTTGTTTTTAATGAAGGCATACTGGCTGTCAGTGTTCATTGCTATCTTTTACAAAAGCTCAAAAAGGATCTCTTTAATGTTATGTTAGAATTTTTGCTAGGAATCTGTCAGCCTGTACTTTGAAGATTCTGCCTCCTCCATTTTGAAAATCGGGACATTTTTCTCTGTTCATTCTCATGGCATATCTTCTGTTCTCCAAGATTTTCAAAAATCACTGGCAGCAATTACATCTGCCAGGTTTTTCAGTGCCCTGGGATGTAGTACATCCAGGCCTACTGACTTGAACTCATTGAGAGGAGCTAGATGCTTTCTCATTGTCTTCTTCTCTGATAACCATTTTTATCCATTCTTCCCAGTACAGAGATCATCCTCTTTGGCAAATAAAATGAGCTATAAGAGTTGATTAGTTCTCTTTTCTCTGTCATCTGTTATCATCATCTCACATTTCTGAACTACCCTTGTGATGATCATCTCCAAATTTAGTCCTGGATGACAAACATAGTCCATCTCTGCGTCACAGCCAAAACCCTTTCCAGCTAAGACGTACTGGATCTTGCACTGTCTCGACCAGGAATCCAGGGTCACCAGTGAAGCATTCATTGGTGTGGTGCTTTAGTAGGATAGAGAGGGGTGTGTGGGTTAGCAAAATGTAAGGGTGTGTATATACAGATATTCAGACATGGTAAAAGGAGAAGGGATTCAAGTATTCTAGCCCCACCACTTACTGTGTCAGTCACTTGTGCTTAAATTGTCCCATCTGTAAAATGGGAATTATAATACTGGCACTCTTTATACTTTGCAGGATTGTTGTGAGTTAAATGTTTTGTAAACCTTAAAAAAAATTACATAAATTTGAGGTGTTAGATATGTTCTTTTTCATTTGTAGTTTTTTTCCCCACATTTTCTAGAGTTTTTTCTGCCTACATTAAAGAAGTTGATGAAAAGCCAGCCAGTACTCCATGGGGTACAAGATGCCTTTTGGTCAACTGATGTCAGAGTTTGGTGGTACTGGAAGTGGCGGTTGGGTCCATGGGGTTAGTTTCTCTGCCAGTGGGAACCGCCTCGCTTGGGTCAGCCATGATAGTACTGTATCAGTTGCTGATGCCTCCAAAAACATGATGTAAGTGTTCTTTTTTTTCCCCCCAACATACAGTGTCTTCCATTTCTGAAGCCTTTTCTCCCTTGTGGAAATGGGATATGAGAAAATCAAAACAGGTCCCTATTAGGTTAATCAGCTGAGCTACCATAACTTAGTTTAAAATTACAGAAATACATTGAGACTTTGAATTTGGAATCAACAGAATAGGGCCCTTGAGATATATTTGTAGTAGGTAACAGCTAACTTTTGAAATGTTTTTAAACCTAGACTTGAAAAAGGTTGTTTCTATTGCCAGAAACGATATTTAATGGAAAAAGTGTTGAAAATTCCTTTGAGAACTTGCCTGGTTTGGTACTGATAAGCATTCCTTCAAAATAGTAAATTTATTCTGTTAATCTTAATTCCATACATCTTCCTTTCTGCCACATTGGTTCTTAATAAGACTTTAAATATCATCTGCTGGGTCCATTAAATAGGAAATAATTTCTTGCCCTATTTAGTAAGTGAATATTCAACATTTCCATTAGTTTGGACCCAATTAAGTAATGCCTAAATTTTTTGATGCTAATTTCTCTGTGATATGTTGGAACAAGTTGAATTATGATGAGACCATTTGTTATTTAAGTTCTCTATGACTGGAGTTAAAATTTACCCATTTGTTTGTTGGGGAATTGAAGGAAAACAATTAATCATCTTTTCTCCTATCAGTTTTTGCCTTGTCTTGATAAACACAGATTCCCAAGGGAGTCTGAAGTTATCTGGTTCTTTATTTTAATTACTAATGGGATGTAGTATCACATTGTCCTAGAAATCAGTTTTCTTGGGTAACTGGCTCCCTCTACTGGCACAGTAGTAGTATAGCCTCAAATTTGGGAGATTTTTTTTTTTCTTAACCAGATTAAAGGGTTTTTTTATACTTTGCAAAAAAGATCATGATGTTGTAGTGTTTCTAATGTAGTAGATTTTATTCACCTTAGTCCAGGTTGTTTTAATACACCTAATGAACCCTTAACTATGCGATTGAGAATATGAATTTATTGCACTTTGTCATACCCCCTGAAACAAAACTTCATATAGAAAAAATCTTGTTACAGTGAATGTAAAAGGTAAAATATTAAGCCAGTACCTGACACTGACTTTTTAAAAACGTACACCTCTTTTGTGTAAAAACAGATCCTTGTCAATCCACAAGCTTTCATTGCATACCTGATATATATAAGGTGTCAAAGATATATGAAAATATAGCTAACAATAGGCAGGATATGATTAAATTCCAAATAAATGGTACAAATAAGTGTCATCCATATTTAGTGAAGGAAGAGGTCATTTTTATGTAGACTTGTCAGGAAACACTTCTTGGAGAGATAAAAATTAGGTTGGGCTTTATGGGACAGGTAGGATTTAAATTGGGAGGAGGGCCTTTCAAGAAGAGTGAGTACAATGAGCAAAGATAAAGAGATAGAAAAGCATGTAGCATTTTTAGAAGTCAGTGAATAGACCAATTTTACTGGAATGGAGAGTTCCTTTGTAGGGAAAGAAGGAAATAAAATGCTGGAATGACCTTGACTAGAAGTTTAAATTTCATCTCTTAGATGATGGGAAGCCATTGGAAGGGCACTGGACTTAAAGTTAGGAAGACCTAGGTTCAAATCCTGCCTTAGATACTTATTATCTGTGTTGCTCTGGGCAAGTTCCTTAACCTTTCTGGGCTTCTGTTTTCTCACATGTAAAATTAAGGGGTTGGACTTGATGGCTTCTGAGGCCCCTGTAGACTCTAAATTCCTGTGATTCCAAGAAAGTTACCATAGGACCCTTCTATCTCAAATTTGTAATTCTTTAAAGTGTTGATATTTTGACTCAACATAAGCTTGTGTCCTACGAGCCCCTAGGAGCTAGATTCTTTGTCATCTTGTGTGTCTGTAAAGAAGCTATGTAGTCAGTTTGAGCTCTTGTTTAATAAGTGCTCTTATGTTCAGGGTTTCACAGCTGAAAACAGAGTTCCTCCCACTCCTGAGTGTGTCGTTTGTCTCTGAGAATAGCGTGGTTGCTGCTGTAAGTATCTCTTTTCATTTTTTTCTTGTGGCACTCTGTAGTTTTTCAGCAAGAGAATAATGCATACATTATGAAGCTGTTCACAATGCATAAAAGCCCTTTAGAGAAAATTGTGTTCGCTTTCAATAGTGAAAAAATGCTAAAAATGAATGTTCTGCTTAGCAGTCAGCTAGATGTGTGATGGTACCTTCTATGGCCTTAGTAATGTCTTGTTTCAGGGCCATGACTGCTGCCCAATGCTGTTTAACTGTGATGATCGTGGCTTGTTGACCTTCGTCTCCAAGTTAGACATTCCAAAACAGAGCATCCAGCGCAACATCTCTGCCATGGAACGCTTCCGTAACATGGACAAGAGAGCCACCACTGAGGATCGCAACACTGCTCTGGACACGCTACACCAGAACAGTATCACGTAGGTGCTAATCATCAGGGGTCACTGGGAGTCAGCCCCTGTCTCTTTCAAACTCTAAGAACAGAAACTTTTAAACAGTTGCATGTAACCCCATTAGAGAAGCTATCATGTGTCTCATGCACCATTCCTCCAGTTTCCCACCTCATACCATTCAAACTAGCATTACTTCATGTAAGAGACATACTAAGAGTCTGGATTTCCTTTGCTTCTTGATTTTTCCCCCTGAGTATTTCAAGTTGTGACTGAACTACAGAAGGATTTTGACTTTTGAGATATGAAAGGCAAAACCCATTCATTATGAGGATTGTGAAAGATATACAGCAAAATTTTAAGGCCATATAATCTGTTACCATGATTTAACTTTGTCAAATATTTTTCAGAACCATAGCTTCACTCCAGTGTCTTGTTAGTTTTCTTATTAGCAAACATGAGGCAGAATGTCATGACTTTATTGTCATTATGAAACAATGCTTCCGTGTTCTGTTTTGGCTATGGGTTTTAACTCATTCTTGTGGATGAGGCATAGAGTAATGTAGTGTGGATAGAGAGCTAGTCTCAGAGCCAGGAAGACCTGTGTTCAAGGCCCTCCTCTGACACATATTTATGGTGTGACCCTGGCAGGTCACTTAACTTCTAAATACTCTAAACAATTCCCTAAGACCGTAAGTTATAGAGAAGATGCTAACTTGCATGATTAGAGGGAATTTTCTCACCCAGGTGTTCCCAGTGCCAGTGAAATCATGGGTCTAGTCCTGGACCCTATCCTTATACTTAAGAACAAGAGAATTGTACGGTTAAAAAAAAATGTAATTCATTAGTCATTATGTTTCACTTGTTTCACACTAGAGACTTGTAACTGTTTAATAAGAAGGAAGGCTTAGATTTTGTCCAGCAAAATAAGAGACTGTAGGGAAGAATGGGAAATCTTCTTGAGAATCCAAATCATTGTTCAGCCTGAGTGCCATAAGATATTCTCTGTCTTACTAGACTTTTGATCTCTTGAGACTAAAGTCTTGTAATGGATTTTAAGCACTAAATTTTTCTCTGAAGAAATTTGAAATAGCATAGTATACTGGATTTTGAGTCAGGACACTCTAGTTGTAGCTCTGCCACTAACTTGGTGTGTGACTTTTAAAAAATGAAGAAATTGAGGATAAAAGGATAAAAGAAGGAGTGAACTAGGTAACTTGTCTGGTTAAGGAACTGAAGGGTGAATTCCTTCATTCCCTACCTTCTTCTTTTCATGTTTGGAGTTGATAACATACTGTCTTTACTGGTGAAATTTAAGATAGAAATGGCCACAAACTCAGTAGGGCTGGAACTTATGTCTTAGAAATATATTTGGGATGACTGTGTGATGTTTTGAAAAAGCCTTACAGTTTTTATTTACAGCCAGCTGGATTTCAGTAATACTTCAACTTGCCTTTTAGAATAGTTACTCATATTTATATAGTGCTTCTATTATTAGAAAGTATTTTCACATACATTATGTCATTTGAGTTTCTCAGCAATCCTGTAAATTGTTCCAAGTATTGTTGTCCCCATTTTGTAGATGAGGGGTGAGCTTCAGAGAAATAATTTGCCCAAGGTGACAACTAGTGAGGAGTAGAATCAGGACTTGAACTTGGACCTTTTAACTGCAAGTCTCATGCCTTTTCCCCTGGCCTGGTGGAATCAGACCTAGTAAAATCAATTTAAAATATTGTTATTGTGGTTATTCCTGTGATCTTGCCCTTGTCCTAAACTCTGGAATTTTAGTGTATGAAATAGATTATCATGGTTCTTTAGGTCATTCAGTAAATTCTTTGGTCCACTTGCTGAAAATCTACTTCTTCAATCACACCTGCCTTTTGTTTCAAGGAAACAAGCTCTAAGGTGCTTTGTTGGAGTCTCCTGTCCACAAATAACATGAAACATAGCTTAAAATGAACTTTTCCTCCTTTCAATATTTTTGTCAGAGACCTGATAGCAAAAAAATTGAGGTGTTCTCTGAGTCAAATAGCTGCAAACCAATTTGGATGGAAGACCTGATATTCCAGAGCTAACGGATAGCTCATTCACTTGAGCAGCCATAAAGTTTGACTTGCTGCAAGATAGATTGGACAGCCGTTGATCACTGCCACAGTGTTAACGTTCCCTGACGTCCCTCACTTTATTCTTCCTTCTTCAGCCAAGTGTCTATTTATGAAGTGGACAAGCAAGACTGCCGCAAATTCTGCACCACTGGCATTGATGGAGCGATGACAATTTGGGATTTCAAGGTATTCTTTAACTTCTATAATAGATTTTGGTTTATGTAGTAGTAGTGCAGAGCTGCACAACTTGGCAGTAGGCAGGGGCCAAAATTAAAATAAGCTAATCTTCTTTGGGCCACAGATAGGTCAGACCAAAGACAGACTGATGATGGTTGGTTGCCATAGGTAACGTGACACACGGTGTGCAGAGACAACCCTACGTTTTTTGATGCCCGCTGGCTGCATGTTATGCAGGTGGCAGTAGAAATAAGTAGTTGACATTTATATGGCAGCACTGTTTTTGTGGAGCAATGTTAACCATATTTGCAGCCAAAAAATTTTCTAATGTACGTAATAGAAACACACAACGTTAGATATGATTCACTTAAAAGCTTTAAGACAAACTCTTGATAATCAGGAATCTCTCTAGTCCTCATTCTTTCAGTGGAAAGAAGAATTTATGTGGTGATATTATGTAAGTTAAATATATGAACATGTCTCCACTACACATAGGCGCATGTGTGCGCGCACACAGATACACACACACATTTCTGTTTGGCTTTGTTTAACTTCTCTAGATGTTAACATAACTAAAACGTTTGCGTGACCTGGCCACTACTTGTATACATGCTTGATATTTATCTTTATTTCCAGGGAGGTTTTCATCTTTAGAATTTAGAAAACAGAAACTCGGGTATAAATAGATGCCGGAGAAGATCTAGACAGAAACACAAAATGTCTCTACCATCTCCTCCTCCCTTTAAATATCACTTACCTTCTTCTCACAGGGACTTGGATTACCCTGTATTTAACTATCTGTACAGAATTTTTGATGATATTTTAGTCTCACCTCAAATGTCTTCAATTTATCTTTCTGCTTCTGCAGTTTTTCAGGACAAATTCCTTCCAGTTCTTCACCACACACTAGGAAATGTCTGAGAATGGGAAAGGGAGGTGGCAGTTGGCATTAGGGGAGTGGGAGAGTAGAAAGCACACGATTCCAATAAACAGGTCTTTGTCGAGTGCAAGGTACTTGGGTCAGCACTGAGGGAATACAAAGAAGCATTAGAGAATTCACCACTTCCTAAGAGTATACCTGAGTATTTTGTGTGTGTAGATGCATGCATCTCTGTATAAATCTATGTATGTGTGTATATATGTGTGAAATGTATAAAAAAACATGGATAGTATGTTTTCCATAAACAGCATTTCGTAGACATGATCCTATGTAGGGAATTATTAAAGAGCCTATTTGGGGATTTTCATATTACCACTATAAAACTAGTTAGTTAATTGATTTTCTCTTTTCTCTCCAGACTTTAGAGTCTTCGATCCAGGGGCTACGAATCATGTGAAGCTATATTTCCATTCTCTAGCATGACAGACACTTGACAGAATGCAGCTCCAGCATTTGCATGAAGACGGGAAACACCCTATCACAAGTCAAAACTAAGAGAATATCCCTTACAGGTGTTCTGTTTTTGTTTTTTTTTTTAAATAATTGGTGAATGTATTGGTTTAAAAAAATCAGCAGTGATGTCTTTTTGATTGGCTATTTCATTCCATTCTTGACCAAAGCTGCTCTTTAAGTAGTTTATCGTGGAAGTTGTCACACTAAATTAAAGGGGGGTTTTATGTAAATTGTCTGCTAGGAAAATAAAAAAAAAATACAGGAATTGTTTGTCTTGTGATTTTTAAAAATTTAATTGTATTGTTTTGCAGTGAACTAAAATCTGTTTTGTTTTTCTCCATTCCATTTCCTGCCATCCCACTGTGGAGGGGAAAGGAGAAAACTAAAACATATGGTTAACATATATGTAGTAAAAAAATAATTCCCATATTGACCATATCCAAAATATTTACGTCTCAATATGCATATCCAAAATATTTACGTCTTAATATGCACCTTGAGTCTTATCACTTCTGTGTCAGGCGATAGGTAGCCTGTTTCACATGGTTTCTGGAATCATTGTGGTAACCAGAGTTCTTAAATCTTTCAAAGTTGTTGTCTTTAAATGTTGTTATTGTTTAAAATGTTCTTAATCTTAATCTGCATCAATGCATACCAGTCTTCCAGACTTCTTTGAAACCATACCCTTTATCATTTCTTACAGAAAAATAATATTCTGTTATCATATACAGTAATTTGTTCAGCTGTTCCCCAGTTGATGGGTGGTTATCCCCTTGGTTTCAGTTCTTTGGAAAAAAGAACCGCTACTACACACACACACACACACACACACACACACACACACACACACACACACACCACACACGTGTGTGTGTGTGACTGAAAAGTTAAGGGACTTGTCGACTTTCACATGTTCATCCATTTTTGAAGAGGATCAATCACATCACAATGTTGGGGTAAAATAGTGGATATCTTGACTTGCACATGAATCAGATTTAAGTAAAGCAGAGCTGTGCACATTCGTTAGCCTCACTTTCTCTTCCAGAGTCATTGATAAGTCCAGTGGCAAGACAGAAATCAAGGGGACTGGAAGTGACCTGGGATTCAGTAGGTGACCCCAGCATCTTTGATGTCTGACCAAGCTCTAACTCGCCACGATGCCTACTTCAGCCGATTCATGGCAGTTGAAACAAATTGTTCTCAGCTGTCCATTCAACCAGCTGAAGTCTTCACATGCTTGGGGGAGACATCCCTCTAACTCACTGACAGGTCTGAGGCCTCTTGGTTACCCTCAACCTGGTTTAGCTTGTCTGCCAAGACAGTTTTACTGGGGTTGGGCTGCTACACATCCTGCAGCTTCTTGGAGCCACAGGTGAGAGGTGAGTGAAGGTGGACACCAGAGGTAAATGAGCAGCCCTGAAAAGGATTCAGGAGGCCCTCATGTCAAAGGTACTAGTCCTCCCTGAACACCCTATACATCTGCCACATTCACACAGCTGCTAAGTGACAGCCTGCCTTTGATCCCAGGTGTTCTGATTCCTAAGTCCAGTGTTCTTTCTACTATACCGCACTGCCTTCTAGATTTGAGTGAAAACTTTTGGTCGTATAGGAAATGCAGATAGTTTTCATTACTTTTCTGTGGTGAATCAACTTATTTGTTTTATTTGTATTGTTGGTTGGTGGAGGGGACAACTTTATCTGGTTTGGTGGGGTGCTTTTCATTGTCATGTTGAAGCAATAAGATTGTAACACCAACTTGTATTCTCAGCCTCTTAGCGTCAACACCAGAATTCTAAGGGTACCTAGTACTGTCCCAAAGGTTGTGATAAGGCGTGGGACTTACTAGGTCCAAGTTAGCCTTCATTGTGAGAGATCTGTAGGTAGGCAGTGAAATTTCCTGAATGTGCTGGAGGTAGGGGTGGGGGAATCACCTACTAAGAAGAATGCCACCCCTTTGGAAAGAAAAGGATTATATATTGAAGCCTGCACATCCATGGTTTGCCCAGCACTAGCCCAGACCTTTGGGCATCTTCAAAGCTATGCTACTGTGCCTCCTAGGTTAAGGAGAGTGGCAGACTAGAGGAAGCATTGGAAGGAAACATGTAATTTCCCCTATTTGATAAATTCCAGTGGCTCCCTATTGTCTCTAGGACTGAATATAAAATCCTCTGGCATTCAAAGCCCTTCATAACCTAGTCCCTCTCAAACAAAACCAAAAGAATGAGAAAATAGAAGACAATGTGAAACATTTCATTGGCAAAACAGCTGACCTGGAAAATAGATCCAGAAGAGATCATTTTAGAATTATTGGACTACCTGAAAGCCATGATCAAAAAAAGAGCCTAGACATCATCTTTCAAGAAATCATAACCTTGGGGCAGCTAAGTGGCATAGTAGAGCTCCAACCTTGGAGTCAGGAGGACCTGAGTACAAATCCAGCCTTAGACTTGATACTTACTAGCTGTGTGACCCTGGGCAAGTCCCTTAACTCCAGTTGCCTCACCAAAAAGCAAAAAAAAAAAGAAAAGTCATAACCCAGTCCCTCCTACCTCTCCAATCTTATACCTTACCCACCCACATATACTCTTTGATCCAGTGCTGTTCAACAAACAGAGCACTCCATCTCTTGGCTCTGGGTGTTTTCTCTGTCTGTCTCCCTTGCTGTGCTCTCCCTCCTTATCTCTACCTTCTCACATCCCCGGATTCCTTTTTTGCCCCTTATCACCCCCTACCTAGTTATGTGTATTATAATTGTATTCTTTCCCCTGTAAGGTAAATATATCTTTAAGTATGTTGATGGGAAAAGGCTAATGTGCCTAGTGGAAGAGGAGGTTAGAAAAATAAAACTATTTCGAAAAGAAGGATGGAGGGGGGGCAGCTAGGTGGCACAGTGGATAGGGCACCGGACCTGAGTTCAAATCCGGCCTCAGACACATAACACTAGCTTGTGTGACCCTGGGCAAGTCACTTAACCCCATTGCCTAGCAAAAAAAAAAAAGAAAAGAAAAGAAGGATGGAGGAAGGGTTTTAGCTTAGTCAAAAGGAAAGTGACCAGCAGGATTTTTTTAGAAGGCTGATAGAATAAGTCAAGGCAAGAGAGCAAAAAGACACTGGCTGAGGTAAGAAGGACTTGAAACCTTAGAAATGGAAGGCGCCTTAAAAGTTAAATAGTCCAATTCTATTAATTTGTAGATGAGGAAACAGACCCAAGTAGGGGAACTGACTTGCCCAATATTCCTGCAACCAAAACATTGAAGGCTTTCTGGCCATGGAATGTAGGGGTGCAGCTAACTTCTGAGATGACCCTTTCAGTCCTGGAAATGATGATACTAAGAGCATAGACAGAAAGGGTCAAGTATCTGCAAGGGGCAGGGCAGATAATTACCCATCTAGTCCAAGAGTGAAACATGTTGGAATCATAAAAAACAGGCTTATTTGTTAAACTGTGTCAAACTGGATTTGATGACTAAGCCGATTCATCCATTTGTGCAGAACTGGTGTCCTGAAATGCCTTTCACTCTGGTCGGATAGATTGTTGCATATGCTAAATGACTGAATGAATATATCATGTGTCATTGACCCCTTATGGAATGGAGCAATGAATGAAAGGTAAATGAAGTTGCAAGTTTACAACCTAGAGAAAGAGTCCTTCCCTCTATAGAACTGGCAGCCATCTATCCTAGCTCTCTTGTTTTACATATAACGAGACTGACGCCCAAAGTGGTGAAGTGATTGCCCAAGGTGACATGGGTTCAATCATGTCGATGGAATTGACCAGAAGTGGACATAGGAGTGGAGAATCTAATGTTAGAGAGTGGTGTTGTTCAGAAACTTTGATTTATAAGAGAAGTCCCATAATGCCATGTTACCTAGTAGTCAATTCCATTAGCAGCCCAGACTCCTGAAATGCCTTGTATACAGATTATGTGGAGCATTTTAATTAATGTGGAACTATGTTGGAATCTAGCTTTCTGGGACATTGGTGGCCCCTGTGGACGGCATCCAAAGGAAATAGATCTCACAGCTATGATCTTACTTTGGCAGCTAAATAATACCTTGTCATTGCAAATGTGTCTTCATCTGTAAAATTAGTGGGTGAACTAAATGGTCCCTAGAATCCCTTCTGTTCTAATGCTCTGCAGTCTGTTTCAAGGTTCTCTCTTCTAAAGCTCCTTCCATATCTCTAATAATTTGAATTCACATTTATGAAGCGCTTTACATTTAACTAAGTTCTTTTTCACAGCAGGCCTCTGAGATAGGTATCCTACACTCACTTCATTCTGACCGGTTAGAAAACCAAAGGTGAAATAATATGTTTAATGGAATGTCAGAAACAGGATTCAAACTCAGGTCTCTTAAATCTGTATTCAAGGCTTTTTTTTTTCACTACCCCACACAAATCTCTATTTTTACTGGTAGAAATAGCTCTTTCAAGGCAACTGACCCCAAGAGATGGGGAGCAACAGTAGTTGCCTAGCCAGGAAGAAGTATTCAAGTGTGTATTGAAACCTTATTTCAGGGAATTAGGTTAAGTTTGTATTATGAGAACACAAAGAAAGCATTCCAAATTGTTCTTAGAACATCAGATGACTTGTTCTGTATGCAGGCACTATCTCATGGTTTTCTGTGTGAC